GGACCGGTTCCCCTCGCAGGGAGAGGATGATGGGGGTGTGGATTATAATGAAGGCCCCTAGTGGCACCATGAGATGTAGAACAAAGTCCACTACAGGGGGCCCAACAACCGTGGAAGAAGAGGTCGTCTCGTGGATCGCCTTAAACGAACCCCTGTTCAACCCTCGATCCATTGCTCACCTGGTTTCTTTGGAATGGTCTCTGCCCTATCACCTAGCACCATCGGTGCGTTTTTGGGCCTGTAGACTGCTGGCTTGAGAAGCCCACAGGATAATTTGAGCGGTATTCCCAGCCGGGCTCCCGAACAAAGTAGCCACAAACCCAGACTTAGACCCCGATGGGGCACTGCGGTTTTGCTGATTAAGCACCTGTCTAGTATTCAGGAGATCCTGAGTGCGGCCCACTGCAGGGCCTATACTATTAAGTCCGCCCTGGCAAGCCAATTGTTTTCCGCTACACGAGTGAGTTGTGCTAGTGGAACATACGAGGAAGTATAATATGTGTCCTTTTTTACATGGAAATACCTGATGGAGGCTTATCTCATCTCCAACCCGTACCTTTTATAGGGGATTGGACCCTTGAACCGGAATTTCACACTTGCCTCCACTTTCAGATCACATCCCAGACGGGGCCCAGAGTCTGGGGTGGCAGACGACCCTATCCTAAACGCAATTTGGACCGCTGGAGGTGCTTGGGATAAAGGGACCTGAGCCCCTCGGAGTCCCAGCATGAGTCTACAATTGAACGTATATTCATTAGTTACTTTGAATTACACGCGGCCCTCAAGAAACTTCTAGGGACCGTGGGGCCCAGTTCTGGTAAGGTGGCCTCTATTTTCTCCCTGGTGAGATAGGTATCTTGTGCATCAGTCATTTGGCCAACAATACAACCTGGTTGTCAGGTTGGGAGGAATTGAGGACATTCTGGAATACCAGAACTATCTGAAGAGATCTTTCTCGTTTTCCACACGTTGGGATCCGGACTCGACTCTTCATCGATATAGGACATCTTGCTGTACGGTCTACCTGAACGGGCTTGCCGGACCCGCTGCGAGGTACCTCCCAGACCGAAAGGTAAGACGCTCCCTGCATTTTCCCTTGTTCGAGTCCCTGGATTTCGTTTTCAACCAGGGAAATATCGACCTCCTCTACATCTCATGGAGTAGAGTCCTGGAGGGCTGATTGGACGCAAGGGGGTGCCTCCTACGCTCTCCTCTGCCCGAGTTCTCATACGTGTGGAATAGTTTCTCTGGGAGGACCCGGCGTCAAGACTTTAGTCCACGGAGGAGGACCCATCAGGCCCCGACCAGTTTGGCTGGATGACGGACCTGTTTGCACAGCGATGAACACTTCCAGAAGTGTTCAACATGGAGACGGGGACGAGTCTCCTCCGTTTGTTTGGTCTCACGACCTTTCTACAGGTGCCTCGGTCTGCTGGTACTTTGGAATTATGATCTCTGCTTCGGCAGAGTCGAACCTAGTTCCTGGATTCCCTGGACCCTTGCTCATTTGATCTCAGGGATTGTGAGACTTTGGTCTGCATGGCAACCCTGCTGTAGTTGGGTCTGGTATGGATCTCCTAATTTTGCTACCGCTTTTACAGGGTTCGGGTATTGTTTGGTCACTTTATTACCGGGGACTGCAATATTACTTAGATTAGGTAGCGCGTACGACTGTTGTCAGCAGGCCTCGCTCTGCTTAGAATTCCCTTTACGATTCCTGAGCACGGTATTCATCTCCCCAGGGGGTACACGCATTTTTGTCATGCTCCTATGGTGGGTTCTGTCGGGTTTTGCCCATCGACTGATTCTGGAGTTATTTCTGTTAATATACTTTGTTTTTCTTTCAGATGGGTTTGGCCCTTAGTTGTCTATCAGCCTTAGTCGCATCCGAGGTTCATATTCTTACTTTGGTAGCGCTCCCACCTTTAGGCAGTGTTCGACGTCACCGTTTGTTTAAATGGTTCCTCCCTTTTTCTTGCCCTTCATGTACCGCTTGGTTGTGGTTGGCATTGGCGGGGCGTATAGGTTTTTTCGGTTCACTTCAGTCCATAACACGGAGACTTCAGGTACCGACATGGCAGGCGTTTTTCTCCAAGACATCGAACGCTTTTCTGCCAGTTACGAGGGGCTATCTTCGCAGAGTTTAGGTTGGTACGGCGGATCAGGATTCTTTGGTCTTTGCTGTCCGAGTGTTAAAACAGCAAATATGAAGCCTCCTGTCATGCTATAAAATTGTAGATCATACTAGCTTTAGTGTAACTATAATCTTAATTTTATTAATGACAGGAGGCGAATATTTCCCTCCCAGTTTCTCCCTCCCCTTGTTGTTTGTTGGTTTGACTGACTTGTTGTTTATTCCTGGTCTCCTGGGCTAGGTTTGTTAATCTGGGGGAGTTGGGGTTTGTAACGGACCGTTTTGCACACAAGGGGTAAAAACCGTTTAGGCGATCGGCCCCCTTTCCAGAGATACAGGCACAGCTACTGCAGAACACCAAAACTCACGAACTGGATACAAAATAGCACTCCAACTCCCGAACTGGAACCTCCCAAATAGCTGCTAGCAGAGGAACAGGGCGAACGGCTTACACTCCACTAGCGATGGTCTCTAACAGCATACAGTGTGAATGATCTCCCAAGAGCGAGACAAGGCTCCGTGTTGAGGGTCAAGCAGTGGTCTGAGGTGCTGGCACACCCAGCCTGGTTTTTAATACAGTGTTTCAAATACAGGACCACCCACAGGGAGGGATAAAACAACCAATCATATCACAGTTACATCCCACATATTCCCTCCCCTTATCCTGAGAGGAAACTCGATTATACAAACAGTTAAAACATACTTTCTACCCAACTTTCATAACTCCAAAACCATACATCACATTCACATAAAATTACATATTCTCAATCAATCCATTCAGGGGAACAACATATTCAAAAATGGCACAAATCAGACAAGGGGTTCAAAGTTAGTAAAAAGTCCTTTGTGACTAAATGAAGCATGGCTTTCTGGCCCAAACCAGTTTCAGAGTCTTCTATCCTGGAGATAAGTAATTCAATTATCTCCCAGGACGAATACAGGGCTTCGTAACTATAGTTGCAAAGAGACACAAAACACTTTAAAATACATAAAGTCACATTCCACATTTATTACATAAAACTACAGACATGCCATATCCCCAGATAGCTCGGTCCGGCACATTGATATAGCAAGTGAAGATGACGGCTCAGACCACCGCGAATAAGTTTAATGGCCATGGAGCTAAAGTCTTTACAGTCAGTTTCATGCAGAGATGGGCTCCATGGGATTCCTATCTGGGGTATAACACATTCAAACAAATCTACCGAACCCAGGCAGAAAAGCACGAATGAAGCTTTTCTGCAGGTAAAAAAGATGTCTTTTAACAGGGGGCCATAGTCCAAAGGCAGCAGGCGAGCAACCAGGCTTCTCCAATGCAATGTGGCGGGATTGGTCTCGTCACATCTCTCCCCTTTTCCAAACAGACTAACAGGGTATCTGACCTCCTGCCGGTCAGTGCCCTTGTTAGTTCAGCAGCCCACCCACAAAACAGAAACAGCAGTATAGCCCACCCACAATAACTGGTTACTACACCTGAGTAAGGGAGAATCTTGTCCATGTCCAGGTGCCTCACCACAGCTGTGTGGGGGACTGATAGGCTGCCTTGGTGGGTTGCTGAGTAGGCAGAGACCAGCGGTACTCTGCCCTGATGCCAGTACTACCGCAGGAGTAGTCTGGTTGAAGCCTGGTTGCTGGAGGGCAGGCTGTACCCTTTAAATACCACCTGCAGCTCTGCTGCTGGAGACGACTGTCTCCCCTTTTGAATGCACAGTCCTGCTGCTGGAGACCGACCGTCTCCCCTTTGGTTCCCCATCTCTGCTGCTGGAGGGGGAGACCGACTGTCTCCCCTTTGGCTAAACAGCCCTGTCGCTGGGGGGCAGAACCGACCGTCCCTACCCCCTGTGCTGGCAGTGTAGAGACTACGGTCCCATCTGCACAGTTGTGGGGCTTACTGTCTCTCCCTGATACATTAAGCTGCCGCTGGGGAGAGGGGGTAACATGCTCCTCTCTCATACATACTTCCAGCTGCGGGGAAGGGAGACCGACTGTCTCTGCTCCCAATACAGAGTCCTGCTGCTGGGGAAAGGAGACTGGGCTCTCTATTCCCGGTAGGACACTCTGCCGCTGGGGAATGGAGACGGGGCTCCCAATTCCCAATAATCTGTGCTGCCGCTGGGGAATGGAGACTGGGCTCCCAATTCCCCAAACATCATACTGCCGCTGGGGAATGGAGACTGGGCTCCCAATTCCCAAAAAATCACGCTGCCGCTGGGGAGGGAGGACACTGCTCTCCTCTCCCTGGACTTCACACTGCCTTCCCGGCATATCACTTGGCTGCTGGGGGGCAGGAACAGCTACCTCTGCCCCCTGTAACTCAGCCTGCCGCTGGGGAGGGAGGACGCTGTTCTCCTCTCCCTGCACTTTACACTGCCTTCCCGGCATATCACTCTGCTGCTGGGGGGCAGGAACAACTACCTCTGCCCCCTGTATCTCAGCCTGCCGCGGGGGGGGGAGGATGCTGCTCTCCTCTCCCTGCACTTTACACTGCCTTCCCGGCATATCACTCTGCTGCTGGGGGGCAGGAACAACTACCTCTGCCCCCTGTAACTCAGCCTGCCGCTGGGGAGGGAGGATACTGCTCTCCTCTCCCTTCACTTTACACTGCCGCAGGGGAATGGAGACTGGGCTCCCAATTCCCTGCAGGACCGGTGGAGAGACCTCGGTCCCATCTCTACCGGCCACCTGGGGT